CTGGTTAGAAAGAGACTGGAGGAACCCAAGACTATGGCCCTTGGCCAACCTTCAGGTCTGAAAAAGCACTCAACATCTTGGTTCAATTTTCAACAAACAGGTAGATAAATATACAGGGGTGATAACATTAGTAAGATATACTGATCATAGAATGGTCAAACATTCAAGACCAAATGGGCAACATTTACCTGGGGACAAAGTTTAGAATGGTTGCAAAAAGGTGAGGAACCGTTGTTACACAGAGGGGACTGCAATCATTGAGATGAAACAAAATATATGATTTGTTGAATGTAAAACTGACGATATGCTCTGCAAACCTTGTCAAAATTCACAATAAAGTTTTTTAAGTGAAAAAAAAAAAAAAAAAAGATTCTGCCAAAAGAATAAAGAGAGACCACAGACCGGGAAGAAAACATGTAAAGAAATTTTTGGATCATTAATTGTTGTTGTTAGGTGCTGTGAAGTTGGTTCCAACTCACAGCGACCCGATGCACAAGGAACAAAACACTGGCTGGTCCTACTCAATCCTCACAATCATTGTGATGGTTGAACCCATTGCTGCAGCCACTGAGCCAATCCATCTCATTGGGGCTCTTTCTCCTTTTTACTAACCCTCCACTTTTATCAAGCATGATCTCCTTCCTTCTCTAAGGACTGGTCCCTTCAGATAATAAGACCTAAGAATGCGAGATGATGTCTCCTCATCCTGGTTTCTAAGGAGCATTCTGGCTGTACTTCTTCCAATAAACATTAATTTGTTTTTCTAGTAGTCCATGGTACTGTCAATATTCTTCTTCAATACCATAACTCGAATGCTTCAATTCTTCTATGGTTTTCCTTATTCATTGTCCAACTTTCACATGCATATGAGGCAAGTGAGGCTATCATGGCTTGGATAAGGCACACCTTAGTCTTCAAACAGACATGTTTGCTCTTTAACACTTTAGAGAGGTCTTGTAAAGCAGATTTGCCTAATGCAATATGTCATTAGATTTCTTGATTACTGTTTTCATGAGTGTTTATAGTGTATCCAAACAAAACGAACTCTTTGACAACTTCAATCTTTTCTCCATTTATCTGGATGTTATTTGTTGGTCTAGTGATGAGAATTTTTGTTTTCTTTACATTCAGGTACAACCCATACTGAAGGCCATGGTCTCAGACTTCATTCATCAGGAAGTATTTTAAGTCCTCTTCACTTTTAGCAATCAAGGTTGTGTAATCTACATATTGCAGCTTGGATAAAAAAGCAAGACCCAAGTAGTATATACAGTACATAAGAAACCAACTTTAAATGTAAAGATGAAAACTGGTCAAAAGTAAAAGTATAGAAAAAGACACAGCATTTTAAGAATAATCATAAGAAAACTGGAGTAACTATATTAATACCAGAAAACGATACACAGATGGAAAGTTACCAGAATCAAGATGGTCATTTCATCATTATAAAGGGTTAATAAATATCAGCTGCTCCAGGGGTTAGAGCCAAGGCTGTGTGCTTCTGTAAAGAGTTACGTTGTCGGGAACTCTGTGGAGTAGATCTCTGTCTGATGGGGCAATGTGAATCGGAATTGGTTCTATGACAGGGGGTGGGTGATGAATCATTTGAGTTAGGAAATGAGACATTTGCGCATTACTGAATAACTGAGTTTAACTTCCTGGAGTAATCAGAGGTTAAACTGTTAAGTCTTAAGTTTTACTTTAGTCCGTCATATAAGACAAGTAGCTGACTAAAGCAATGTTTATCTTAGTGATTCTTAAGTGTGTGGGTTTGAATAAAAGCTAATTTTCTCAAAAAACCAAACTGACATCATCCAAGGTAAAGCCCACACACAGGCACACTTAAGAATAATTGTACGTTTTTTATGAAGAACAAGATTCAGTTATTGAGTGAGAATAGCTTTTCTAAGTGATAGCTTCAGAAATACACTGGGGAGCATAATAGTGACTTCTGGACAGAGCCTTGCTCAATTGTCAAAAAGGGAAGCAAAGTTTTTGTACAAGAGGGATGCTTAGAAGAATCAATGTGTATGTACTTTCGGCGCCGGCACCAAAGTGGAGATCAAAAGGGCTGATACTAAGCCAATAGTCTCCCTCTTCCCATCTTCTGAGGAGCAGTTACAGACCTCAAGTGCCTCTTTAGTGTGCTTAGTCAATCACTTCTACCCCAAAGACGCCGAGGTGACATGGAAGATGGATGGTGTCTCCCAGACGAATGACATCCAGAACAGCTACACGGAGCAGGATAACACAGGCAGCACCTACAGTCTCAGTAACATTCTGACAATACCCACATCCACCTACAACAGCCATAATACCTACACCTGTGAGGTCAGCCAGAAGACGCTGCCCTTCCCGCATATCGAGAGCTTCAACAGGAATCATGTTAGAGAAGGAGGCCTGCTGAGGGACCCATGCCTCCTCCTCAGGTCCAGCCTCACCCTCATCCTCCTTAAACCTCTGGCCCTTTCCCCACAAAACACTTATCCCTATTTCAGTCATACAATCAACCCCTCATCCTACCCACCCTCCACCACTGTACACATCTGTAACTTTCCTTGTCATAATATTTGTGGAAAAAGAAAAAGAATAAAAATGAAAATGCCTTGCAAAAAAAAGCTAATTATCTCAAGACCCTTCAATCCCAGCTGTTTTAATTGCTTATATTTTCAAAGAGCCACCCAAACCAACCAAGCCCATTGCTGTCCAGCCGATTCTAATTCATGGCGACTTACAGGTCAGAGTAGAAACTGCCCCATAGTTTCCAAGGCTCTAAATCATTATAGAAACAGACTGCTGCTTCTTTCTTTCATAGGGCAGCTAGTATGTTGGAAGTGCCTTTCAGTTAGTAACTGAGTAGTTTAACGACTGTGCCACCAAGGGGCTCCTTATAGAGAGCTGCCTATCCAAAGCCCACCGGCATTGAGTGATCTGATTCATAGCCACCCACTGTCGGTTATCTGAGGCTGTAAATCTTTACAGGAGGAGAAAGCCTCATCTTTTTTTCCCTTGGAATGGCTGGTGGGTTTGAAGTGCTAACCTTGTGATTAGTAATCCAGCGCTTATCCTACAGTGCCACCAGGGTTCCTTACAGAAATCTGCATACCTGCTTTTGTTTGCTAACAAAATTAAGATGTTATTTTGTTTGAAACTTAAATTTCTTTCATTTTATATTGTACTGATGACAGATGGTGTTAGCTACCTTTGACTGGTAACTGGGATTTTTATTCCTACATTTAAAAATTTATATCTCTCTCTAGGCAGTGTTTTAGCTGCATATGATACTATTTGATTTCTTGAGCTGTTACTTTATCTTCCTCGTGACTTTTTTTTCATCTAGGTGTTATTTAGACTTACATTATGTCATTTCCACATGTTCTTGTTGCTGATTTCTGATTTAACTGTTTGTGATCAGAGAACATGCTTTTATAACTTTAGTGCTTTGGAATTTATTGAGACTTGTTCATGGCCCAGAACTATCTTTGTAATGCTACTTGTACATTTAAAAACCTATGTATTCTGCTGTTTTTGCAAGGTGGTCAGTAAATGAGATTGGTTGGTTGACTGTGTTGCTCACATCTGCTGTATCCTGGCTGATTTCCTATCTGCTTGCCTATCAGTCATTGAGTGTGTTGAGATCTACATAATTTTAGATATGCTTATTTCTCTCTTCATTACTATCAACATATGGCTTATAATCTTGAAGCTCAGTTATTAGGGGAACAGATGTTGAGAATGGTTAGGTCTTTTTAATTTAGGGTTTGAACTGCCTGTGGTTAGCAGGCCAACACTTAACCCACTAAGCCACCAGGGCTACTTAACAGTAAAACTTAGTAAGTCACACATGTAAAAATAATCATTTAAAATGTACAATACAATTATGTATCCATGTGCTGTTATTATTGTTAAGTGCTGTCAAGTCAAATCCGACTCATGGCAACCCTGTGTAGGATTTGAGGAGCGGCTAGTGGGTTCAAACTGCCGAATACCCAGTTAGCAGTCCAGTGCTTCCTGTACAGCACCACACCAGGACTCCACATATATGTGTGTATACCATAAATACATTATTTATAAGGAGCCCTGGTGGCAAAGAGGCGAAGTGCACAGCTGCTAATCAAATGAGTGGAGGTCAGAATCCCTCCCCCCGCCCCACCCCAGTCACTGTGAGGAAGAAAGATGTGGCAATGTGCTTCCTTAAGAGATTTGCAGCACTGGAAACCCGCAGAGGCAGTCCTAGTCAGTCCTAAAGGGGCACAATGACTTGGCATTGACTCAGCAGCAACAGGTTACAGTGTATACATATATGTATTTATATGTATTCTCTATGTAAAGAGCCTTGCTGGCACAGGAAGTTACTTGTGCTGCTAATCACAAGGTCCGTAGTTCAAATCTACCAGCTGCTACGTGGAAGAAAGACGAAGCTTTGTGCTCTGGTAACAATTTACATCCTTGTAAACCCTATACAGGCCACGGTGAGTTAGAGCCAACTTAGCACACAACAACAACAAATATGTACATATACATATGCTGTTGTTGTTATGTGCCGTGGAGTCGGTTCCGACTAATAGCGACCCTGTACAGGGTTTCCGAGACTGTAAATCTTTACGGGAGCAGAAAGCCTCATCTTTCTCCCACGGAACAGCTGGTAGTTTCGAACTGCTGACCTTGCGGTTCGCAGCCCGATTCGTAACCACTACACTACCAGAGCTCCTTTACATATATATATACACACATACATACATACATACATAAAAGGGGGACTTAAAAAGTTCATGGAAAAATGAAATGAAGAAATAATTAAAATTTTGAAGCCCCTCATACATACCATCTCTCCAATTACACTAAGAAATCTGCCGAATGTTTAGGGAATCTGTACCATGGAGAACACATTAGAAAGGAAAAAAATCACCTTCGTTTTTTTTCAATGAAATTTTCCTGATTTATCTCTGGAGGCTTCCAGGTGGCAGTGAGTGAAATGGAGATAAACAGAGACTACCTACCGTCTGGCCCTCAATAGCAGCTCGCTGGCGCCCTAAGACATCTTGCAGCTGAGTGAAATGCTGAATAAAGGCCACCACCTCAGCCTGAAAGCGCTGCGTGTGCACGTACTGCACAGAGGCCATCTGGAGACTCACTCGAACGTCGTGCTCTCTCTGCAGCAGAGGGTCGGGTCGGCCAAACCTGGGAGACAGGTTGAAAATGTGACTCCAAAGGGCAGCAAGGTCTGTGCAAGCGAGTATGTGGAAAAAACTGGGGCTAGTTTAGGGGTTTCCCTCGAAAATGGCTTTGACCATAAAAATGGAAACACACAATCAGGTTTTACAAAGCAAACATCCATAATTACTCCCTTTTCATGTTTCTGCGATGTGGGTGAAGTGCCGTCTAGTCGGTTACGCCTCACAGCAACCCTGTATAGGGTTTTCAAGGATGGCTAGTGAGTTTGAATCGCTGACCTTGTGGTTCAAACCAGCCTTGAGGACTCCTGTAAACTAATCAACCTAAATTTTCAATATGCCATGACATACTCCCCTGAAAACGGAAGGAAAAGTCCTCAGGCATCTTTCAAATCAGTTTTTCTCAACCTTGATTGAACAGTAAAATTATATTGGCACATTTAAACTACAAAAAAAATGACTGAGCACCATCTAAACCAGTTAAAATATTTGGGGATAGAGGATGAACATCTGTATGTTTTAACAACATCTAAGCTGTAGGATAGAGTCCTGGTACAGCGCTGTGGGCTAATGTGCTGCACTGCAAAGTCAGCTTGAACTTCAAGGTTGACGGCTGAAGCTCACCAGCTGCTCCTTGGACACCCTCTACAGGGCCACTATGGTTTGGAACTGACTTGGCAGCACTTAACAACCACAACGCTGTAGGATGGAGTCCTAGTCTGGCACGGCAGGTTAATGCACTGGACCGCAAGGTCAATTTGAACCGTGAGGTCAGTGGTTCAAGCTCACCAGCCGCTCCTCAGAAACCCTACATGAGGTCACTGTGAGTCGAAACTGACTCACCAGCACCTGAACAATGACAACGCTATAGGATAAGCACGCTACCACAAGATTAGTTTGAACTACAAGGTTGGTGGTTCAAACTCACCAGTCGCTCCTCAGAAACGGGTTGCTATGAGTCGGAAGTGACTCAACGGCACTTAACAACAACTAAGGTTGAAAAGGAGCCCTGGTGACACTACAGGATAAACACTAGACTGCTAACCACAAGGTTGGCAGTTCAAACCCACCAGCTGCTTCAGGGGTCAGTCACTATGAGTCAGAACTGACTCAAAGGCACTTAACACAGACCCAGTTTAATGAAATTTAATATAAGACAGGACTCTTTACAACCAGATTTTATAAATGTTACCTAGAAAGGTAAAATTTTTCAAAACTCTTCTTCATTTAGACAGTGAGAATTTGAGACAGTATGTGATTATGAAAGACTAGCTCATAAAAAGGAGCTCTGGTAGCGTAGTGGTTACAAACCAGGCTGTGAACCGCAAGGTTAGCAGTTTGAACTACCAGCTATTCCGCGGGAGAAAGATGAGGCGTTCTGCTCCCGTAAAGATTTACAGCCTCCTAAACCCTATACAGGGTTGCTATGAGTCAGAACCGACTCCATGGCACATAACACCACCACCAACATCTCATAAAAAAAAAGATGCATATTTGTACTTAAAAGTCTGAAAGATGAGTGCTTCTTCTCCACTTGTAGTGAATCGCTCTCTGTATAGCTCTCCGTGGGGTGTAAGGTCACTTAGAGACAGGCTCCCGATGCTTCCCTGTAAGGCCAGGTCTCCCTCTAAGAATGCCAAAAAGAAAAGGAATTACTACACATCCTTTGTGTCATACACCTTAAAAAGGTCTGGGACACAAAGTGATATATTCATGCTTTAGACATTTCATTATTTCATCAAACTTAATCTCAAAACTAACTTTACATATCTAATACGTCCATAAAGAAATGGCATGTTAATATTTCAAATAATCAAAGAGGAGTGGAACTATATGAGCAACAGGAATCACAGCATTTACAAGGGGGAAGAAATTAAGTTCAGTAAAAATACAATTAAAACAATCAACCATTTAGGAATTTTGATATACAATTTAGAAATATAGTGACACTTTCTGCGATTTAGGTCACTAATTAGAATTAGTGAAATATCATTAATGTCTAGTAATTATATTATGGATAAAAGAAAAAAGGAGGAAAGTGTCATTAAAAAAATTCAAGATTTCAAATAACATAAGCATATTTTTGTGTGGTTTGGTAATTTCCAAAGAAGCTAGAGCTAGACAAATACTGAGACATGGGTTGAAAGTAAACTAGCAGCCCATGTAACTATGGTGACAGCACATGAGGAAAGCCCCTGGAAGGCAAGCAGAACATGTACACCTGGGCTGGGAACCTAAAACAAGTCATTCTCAAGACGGTACAGAGCCTAAGAAAGAATATTCTGAACTTTAGCATCCTCAAAATAAATTGTATTATCATAATTACCACTACAAATTTAAAATGCATACATTTGGCAGGCCAGTTCAGCTCCTAACAAACTGAACAAAGATACTTTTTAAAAATTTTAATAACTGTCTCAACAAAAACAACCAATCTTCTCCCAGTCTCAAAGATCCAGCTCTTCTAGGAAACATAGGAAACAGCCTATAAAGTCAACCCACAGCCAGTTTTGCTTCAATATTCTTCTGCCTAGAACCACACCCCCTTTTGAGTGGTTTTCCAGAGACAACATATGCTATAGGCCCGTTTTCCAGGTGTAATTATTAACAGGGTCCTCCATTCACTCTCAAAAAGATACCCTGATTTGGAAAGTCACACTACAAGTTTGTTAAAAGCACAGAGAGATGCCAAAGTCCCATTCCAACCTTCTGAATTAGACTCTTGTGGTTCAAGGAGGGAGGGACGGATGTCAGACATCGGCATTCTTTACATGCTGTCCACATGATCCTGAGCTATAAAACCAGTATTTAGGAAGCACAACCACACATCACCATGAGACCAATAACCACAATCAAGCCACTCAATCCACACTTTACTTAGACCATAAGTACAAGTAGATAGATTTCGGATTTGGATGTTCAAATCCTTACCAGATTTTACAAGTCTGATTTGCCCCACTTACCAATCATTTCCAGGTGTGCCACTAGTTTGGACACATTAGCTTTAGCAAGCTCACTGGTGGTCTTATTCAGCACAAGAGAGAGTGAGTGGACCTAGGAACATAAAATGTAAAGCAAGTCACATATTTCTGTGGGGAAATCACAGAGCAAAACAAAGGAAGATGCAGAGCAGCTCAGGATATTTGAAGGGAAAGTTTTTAACAATGCCAATTTCAGCTTTCTTCAATCAATCCAACCACAGTCTGAAGAGACACCTGATAGGAAAGGAACACCAATGAAGTACCTACAGCCCTGATATGTGGTATCTTCTCTATGATTCCCTTATCTTTTCTCTGTTAATTGAATATTTTTAATTATAATTTTTTTTTCACTTTTGCATCTGTACTTAGTATTGCAGTATTCTGTAATAACTAATACAGATTCATTAAATTTAGACCTACTCTAAGAAATTGATCAAGGCAAAATGACTACATTATTTAGAATCTTGCACAATACCTTTGGAAACATATTTAACAGATGCCCCTGTTGATCAACTGGAACTTCACCTAGAATTATTTTTCAAAAACACCTGTCAACAATTTTCTTCCCGTAAAGATTTACAGCCTCGGAAACCCTATTCAGGGTCGCTATGGGTCGAAACCGACTCAATTGCACTTAACAACAACAACAAGGATAACTATAAATAAAAGAAAAACAAAACAATCCTCTGGCTTTGGAACACCACCCTTTGCAACCTATAAATCTGCTATTATGATAGAGTCATTGTAACTAATAAAAGGACTGCTGTGACCAGGATTTGTTGAGGTAAATCTCCACAATCCTTTTTTCTCGGAGAACAATCACTGGGGGCATAAGGCATTGGTTGAAAAGGAGAGAGAAGGAGATGGAGAACAGATTCAAACTTCAACTAGCACGCACTGCTTCCCTAATGGCAGAGACCAGGCCTTCCTCATCACTTTTCCTCCAGTGCCTACCACAAAGCAAGTAGTCAATAAGTGTTTGATGAATGAGCAGCTTGGAGAAAAAAAGATAGGGGAAGGAGAAAAGAAAAATACTAGAAAGACACAAGAAGCCTGTTCTCAGGGGGCTGAGAGGAGGACTGTGCCGAGACACATCTAAGAGGAGCTGAGAGAGATGTCTTACCATGAAGACGGGAAGACACTTGGTCTGTATGCTTCCTGATTTGGATCCTGAATTGCAGCCTGCTGAGTTGGACCAGGCTGCTTTTTAAAATAAACCACTCAACTTAAGGATGGCCTCTAAATTCTGTGTGGCTACCTGAACCCAGCGGAGAAGCAGAGAGTGCCGCCTTAGGAGGTATGGCTGTTGTCAGAATTGGTAAAAAGTTGGAGAGGAGGTATGTCTGTGTGACCTACACCTCACAGGGATCAGCATTATCTCCCCTGAAGTTACACAGTGACTACAACACTACTGCCACGCCCACCATCTCACAGCTAACATTTAAGTCGACAAACTCAAATTGATTCTTAGAATTTAAAGAAACCAAAAGGAACTTGTACCTTGAGATCCAGCTTGGTGTTAACTGGATCCTGAAGTTCAGACTCTATCAAAGTGCTTGACTCTATCTTCATGTTTTGTAAAATGTCTTCAGGCGGCACCTTCATTGCATGGTTGTCTGCAGTGGAGCCAATTCCAAAAAAATCCAGTATCACAACCCAAGTTTGCAGTGTGATCAATACATCCAAGCAGTTAAAATCAACATCAATGCTCCGGTTAACTCGATTGTAACAGGAAGAAAATTCAGGATGTTTCTTATCCACCAAGAATATATTGATGTGGACCAGTGAATCATCAAATTTACTCTTTCCAGCAAGGATTTTGGGCTCATCTACTGTTGGAGAAGGTGGTGGAGTTAAGGGATAATCCTTGTCTTGGACTTCCTTTGGCTTTTTCCGGGATGCAGAGGTGGGTCTTTGGTATAACTGGAAGACATTAGGAGCTTCTTCCATGTGAGAAGGAAGAGACCGAGGCATATCGGGATACTCCACATTGGATACTGAAGGGCAAGACTGAGAGAGATATTCTTTCTGTGCTAAACTAGATGGCTTGGGGGCTCCTCGAGATACCATCAGGTTCTTATATTTGGAATCTGGGTTTTTCTCCAGTAAATCTTCCATCAGCAGAGAACGCAGGGCAATCTGAATGGATAAAGTCTGAGGATGATCTTTACTGAATTCCACCTCAAAGTCCTGAAACTTTAAGCTCACAAGACCCTGAGCCCCCAAAGTCAGATCTCCACTTAGCTGAACTTGAAGCTCTGATATACAAAAGTTGGCTTGAATCTGGGTGAAGGATTTGACTTCCTTCACAGACAAAGACTTTTGTGAAGAGTTAGAAAGGCTGGAGTGGCTAAACAATCCATTCTCCTTCCTTTCAACAGAAGATTCTCCACAGATACTGAGGGAAGGCAGAGGAGAATTAGGGCAAGGTGAGGAGGCGGCACTGACTGGAAACTTATTCAGATCTTCACTATACACAAGATTGTCCAGTGTTTGCAAAACCTGCTCATACACATGCTTTGCTAACACCACCTGCATTCAAAGAGAAAAACTCAGTTACTCCATTACTATTATTAATTGCATTCAGATGCACTGCCAATACATTTTCAAAGCTGGTGTTTGTAGGGTTCTCCACCAGGTTACAAGTTAATGGATAATAAGAACTGTCTCTTCGGTTTCTTTTCTGTCCTCAACTCTCTCTCCCACTTCCATTCATAAGGCCTTCATCCAGTACCACACAGGATAATCTATACATAATAAATGCTATTGATTTTATGACTGAAGCAGACATGCCCATTAGCTGCACTCCTGGGTTACTCCACAGCAGCTATTAGAAACAGACCAAGAGTAGAGCCCACGGTCTTAATATTCTGCATGTCATGATTATTTTACAATTTATATGTAATTTTATAATGTATAGCTTAATGTCCTGTCAAATCAGGAAAAACATCAAACTGTCAAAGAGAAAATGAACCGCAGATAAAAGCACACACACACACAAATGTATCTATGCAAAAGAAATCCCTATCCTGGTCAATTTCATTTCAGAGAGGGCAGGATTAATTCTCTCTTGAAAGGATCTGTCAGTTGTTCGGATCATCAGATTACTTCATAGGCTGGACAAAGTATATCAAAGTGTGGCAAGAAGTACATCCTCCTGGGAAAGAAAGACTAACTTTTTCAGCAATATTTTCCCTGTTTCTGAATGGCAATAGAATTAAAGCTCTATCCTCTTCCTTTAAATAACTCCTTCTCCCTGCAACAGTAAGAACACTAGCAAGACTAAGTCATTCTCCAGTGATAAAATGACACAATGAAACAATTCCAAGTTTATTCGAATAAGCTATCAGCACCAGTAATATATATTAACGATAACTCTTTGAATCTTTTAATTTCTTTCCAACTATATAGAAGCCCTAGTGGCACTGTATGATAAGCACTAGACCGCTAACTGAAAGGCCAGCTGTTCAAATCTACTAACCATTCTGCAGGAGAAATGATCGGACTTTCTGCTCCCATGAAGATTTAAAGCCTTAGAAACCCTATACAGGGTCACTATGAGTCAGAATTGACTTGATGGGACTGGGTTTTGGTTTCAACATATAGATAAAATCTTATACTTACTCATAATCTCTCTTAGTGGGAGGAGAGATGAGTAACTCTGGATATTGTTGTTATTGGTAAGTGCTGTCGAGTTGGTTCCGACCCACAGCGTATAGGGTTTCCAAGGAGCTGCTGGTGGACTTGAACTGCTGACTTTGTGGTTTACAGTTCAGTGCTAATCCTACAGCACCACACCAAGAGTCTTAACTATAAGATGACTAGATGTAGACTAAAGAAAAAGGAACATAAACTAAATGACTGACCCAAGGTCACAATCACAACTAAAGAACCTTTTACTGCCCTGTGTTAGAATATGTCTCTGACATGGAAGCCTACAGCAGGTGGGGTGTGAGTGAAGACAGGAAACCAAACTCTTCATGTTAGTATACAAATAAACTCTAAAAATACACAAAGGGAAGCCAAATAAAACAAAAGTATGCTTACTGAAAACTTTCAAATTTTAGAGCCTCATTTGGATTTGCACTAGCCTATCCTTTGCACTAAAGGTTCAATGAAAATCATGTGCCACTTACAAACCTAATATTACATGCTTCTTATAGAACAACTTTGCCAGAACATGCTTATATACTCACTCTTCATTGACAGGGTTCAAAATCACTTTGTGGTCTGGAAGTTTCTGGCCCAATGGAATTAATCATAATGAAACTAGATACTATGTTTTAATATAGTTATTTTTAAAAAATGCCTCCAACTGCCCTGACATGACAATCAACAAGGTTTTACCTGAACTGGATTAACAAACTTCCCTTCAATCTTCATGATGCTAGAAGTCCCCAGGTCATCCGGACTAAGGGAGAAGGTCAATTCAGATTCTCTCTCTATAGGGGTCTTCTCCAGTTTAAACTGGATGGTGGTGTTGTTCAGGATGTGAAAAGCTGACATAAGAGAGGGGAATGACAGACTGTAAACATTGTATTTGCTTTGGTTTTGCTGAAGAAGAGTGGAGTACATAAAACAGCGCCATGGATTACTCTTAGACTGGGAGGGCAGGCGATCCTGGTGCCTGGGGTCTATGAGTACAAATTTTAATGTCTCTTCCAAAACCAAAATTCATAGTAAGCAGAGTTATAAGATAAATTTATACAAACAAGCAGTATATTCATGATGTGCACCATTTGGTGGCTTCAAAATGTGACACGGTGACTATTAATCCCTGTCAGGGTCCACATTATGCTTTCTTTAGTCTTTCAAGCTGGCATTTTCCAAAACAAACTGCTCACCCTTATCTATCTTCCAGCTATAACATTTGCCCTTTGATTAGGCCTACATCAGAATCTAGGGCGATATAAGGTTCCATGCCAACATACATATTTTATCCCGAGCAGAGAAAGCAATCTTTTGGTAAGTAGATAAATGGATCATAGGGAAATTAACACGTAAGAATGACAGAAGAAGTTCTCAAAGACATTAATTTCTTCACCAATAATGGACCCATGCACTCAGGTTTATCTGATTCCAAGAAATGATAGGCTGAACTGTTTGGTTTTAGATAATCAGATCCAGGATTCAAATACAAACATTCTATTACTAGAATACTGGAAATGGATTCACTGTTAAAAAAACAGGATGACAGAATATTGAAAGGAAAACATAACGTCCACAGACTAAATTTCATATTCTATGGTGCTGCAGGATAAGTACTCAACCACAAGGTCAGGTTGAACCGCAAGGTCAGTGGTTCAAACTCACCAGCCACTCCTTGGAAACCCTACACAGGGTTGCTATGAGGCAGAGGCAACTCGAGCATTAAGTGGAACAGGACCAAACCAACCTACCCTATATGAAGCGTTCCATCAAAATTTCTAGTTTGATTTATTAAATATTTACTGTGGATAAATTTTAAAGAACAGTTGTTTTGTGGATGTTGTTTTATGCCAAGTACTACAAGAACTGGGATTTGAATCTGTAAAACAAAATGAAACAAAAGATTCATGCTCCTAACCTTGACCTCGGTGCAAAGATTCAAAGAAATCATGGCGGGTGAAAGGAGTCTCCTCTTGACTGCCAACACTGGCAGACCCAGGAGGAGGGCAAACTGTTCGACTTCCTTCAGACCCAGGGCCCTCTCTACTTGCCAACTGGGTGCAGTTCAAAGAATATAACTTAATATCTTTGATTTCCACCTGCAGACGGTCACTTCTGGATTCATCATCTCCAGCCACAAAATTCTGGATGAATATCTGTCCCAAGTGTCCTACCAACAACTCGGGACTCCCAGGCTTTCGAGGGATAGAAACCACTGGGGACTCAATGTTTACATTCAAGATGAGCTTCACAGTGTCAGAATGAGATGCAGGTAGGCCAAATCCGTATAGTTCATTTTCTTCTAAGATAAAAGGTTCCCGAGTCTTCCTGGGAGTTTCAAAGAGTGATACCATCTCGCTGTACTCGGCAGTTTTAGTAGCTAGCACAGTGGTGACTTTAGTGGCTGCACTTTTCAGCATACTTTGAAAACTTTCCTCTAGCTCGTCCATGGATAATGTTAACTCCTTCAAAAACTTAGCAGAGTGGTTGTAATGCAAGGAAGCCATCTTGAGGTTGAGGAACCACTCCTGTTTAGATCTCTCAACAAATGTGAAACTCAAAGCTTCCGTGAGGGCTACATCTTCCATTCTGACAAACACAGATTCAAAGTAGCCAATGTCACTGATGATGCTTTCGTAGCCTGTGGAATTTCCGATGCTGACTACATATTGGTTCTTCACATTCTCTTGTGTCAAATCCATAAGTTGCAAACAGCCCAGAGAACCATTCATATCAAATGTGTTCCCCATTGAGACATTAACTTTGGTGCCCCCTACACTGGCAGTTGCAATTTTTCTGCCGTATTTCTCTCCATTGGCCATTTCCACTGTTCGCAGGAGCAGTAAGTTAAGCCTATGGATCTCCACTGCAACCTCAGTGTTTTGTTCATATGTAGATTGGTAGGTGCCTTGTTCCCAGAAGCCTCTTTCCAAATCAGTCATTAAAGGTTGAGGACTCAAATCATCCTTTTCCTTGGGGAAAGACTTTTGAAGAAAACCAATCAGTTCTACAATTGTCTCTGGATTCAGAATAATATCCAAATTATTGACTTGCAATGAGATCACCTGAAGAGTGCTGTCTAAATTCATCGATGGACACTCTGAACTCACAAACTGATATTCCAGTTTAATGAGGGACTCTTGTTCTTTGGTGAGAATGTTGTCAAGTGAAACACTGGTAGCTGACCGATCGCTCAGTATGGCTGCATCAGTTAAATGGACCACATTGGGTCCAGAGACAGGAGACTGGGCCCTGCTATCCCGGAGGCTTCCTGTTGGAATATCAAAACTCAAGTTCTTGTGCGAAGCCATCAAAAGGTCAAAGTCAGCACCATATGTCTGCATGGTGTCCACCAGCAGTAGACCATGAACAGTTAAGGAGACTTCAGCATCATAAGGCCTCTTCACAAAGTGAGCATTGGTACCGAAAACCTTGAGCACGGAAATATAGCGGCCATTGCTCTCAACAGCAAGTTGCATACAGTTAACTTTAAATTCTGCAAGGAGGAGCTGAGATTCCACCAGAACCTCTCGAGTATGCTGCTCCAACATCACAATGCTCTGGGTTAAATTCATTACTGAGTCTTGCAGACTGCCCCGCTGCTCCTCTTGGGGAAAAATGTTCTCTTTAATCTGAGTGTCCGAAGTCTTCATTTCTGAGGAGGCCAAAAGAGCAAAGCAATTCTTTAGAGCAGATATTTTATCTTCATTGATATGGATTTTTAAGTCTGGTAAGTTGCCTGAGAGCACTGCTCCTGGGTATTTGGGGTCTGAAGTGTAAATCAATCGGCGTTCTAAGTGCAGATGAACATTGAATTTCTCCACCACGTGGGTTGGCCCCACGTCAATACCCTGTGCATGCTTCCAATTGTCTTTCACTCGTCCAACCATGATCTGGAGGTCCAGGAATGACAGGGAATACCTCTCATACATCTTGGTGCTCATTAAGTGTGCTTGAAGCTGCTCTTCACTGAATTCAACTCCAGAAAATGGAGGTGTCTTCTCTCCATTACTACTGCTTGTCTCAGGGGGTGGCGTGTTAGGAGGTGTGGCGAGGGGGGTCTTGTATTCATCATCACTAAATTGATTGTTTTCTGATGCTGACTCATCCCCATTTTTCCTCTTGGAGTCATCTGTGGATAAAATGGAAAAGATTCTAAGAATATGCCTGAGTTTTCCTTCCTCTATCCTTTAATATAATAATTAAGAAAAGCAGAGTATCAATCAGTCCCAACTAAAATAAAAAAATAAAAACAACTAGGTGATAACTAAATAGAAGTATAGTATTCTGTCCTGGTGTGGCACTGCAGGATAATGCATTGGGCTGCAAGGTCGGTGGTTCAAACTCACCAGCCACTCCTCAGAAACCCCATACAGGCTAGCTATGGGTTGAAACCGACTTGATGACACTTAACTATGAATTCAATGTGGATTTCTTAATCTGGAAATCAAAATACAAAAAGTGCAAATATACGAAGGTGATAAAAGGTGGTGACTCACCTGACATATAGCCACCTCACATCCGTGGCACCCATGCACCTACTGCCCAAAGCTGCTCTCCCACCATCTAAGCTCGCTGTCACAAGCCCACCCTTCCTATGTCACCCCTATAATTCTCTACAAGCTTATCTGTCCTTTGTTTCCTCTATCTTGGTTCCCACACTTGTTGTTGTTGCTGTTATGTTCCATGGAGTCGGTTTCGACTCATAGCGACCCTGTTCAGGGTTTCCGAGGCTGTAAATCTTTAAGGGAGCAGAAAGTCTCATCTTTCTCCCATGGAACAGCTGGTAATTCTGAACTACTAGACCCTGAGGTTTGCAGCTCGATTTGTAACCACTACACTACCACACTATAATATTCCAAAAGAAGAGTCTCATCTGTCTTACTCCACACAGTACCTCCACTGCTGGACTCAGTGCTTAGCAAGCAGTAACTGCTCAACAGGTCACTTTTCTAGCTCCAGAGTCCACCATCCTAACCCTTCTCTTCTACAGCCAGACAATGCTGACACAACTACAAAAGCACATCCATTCCATGAGTATGCAAGGGGCTTCACAAAGTTCATGGAAAACGGAATTAAAAGATCATGGACAAAACAAAATAATGTTTGATAAAGGAACTGAGGGTAAATTGTTACAATTTCATGAACTTGACTTATACTCATCGATGTAGTAGCTCAAAATACCAACAGAGAGGGAAGGAGTCTTCACATCAAATATTAATCTTATCCCCTCTATACACAGGGTTGATAGGGAGGGGCATCTTAGGAACTGGCTACCTAAAATGACAGGGCAAAGAACATCAATGAAGGGGCGAGCTAAGCCCTACATCGTTCAGCAAACTACTATGAACCCGGGTGGAGACCTGGTCAGCCAGTAGCGAGGCAACATCTGGGGACTCATGGGCTCAGGGTCAGTGACACAGCCACAGAGGTCTAGAGTGGAAAGCGGGGCGGCCAGCCGATAAAAAGAGGCCGGACAGACGTAAGAACACCCACACTTGCAGATGATGCCCATTTGACT